CGATCACCGCAGGGCCGGCCCTGGGTCCCGAAGCCCGGGTGCAGCCCGCGGGCTCTGGCCGCCTGGAGCCCTCCAGCGACCCCAGGCCTCTGCTTTCCGGGCTTATGGGGCTGCTCTTAGGGGCCTTCTTAGCTCCCCTGAGCCTGTCCTAACAGTCAGTCCCCGGGAGCAGCCGGGAACCCCAGTGCTGGGTGTCCTCACTCGTCCCTGGCCCCGCAGCCCATTCCACCTCTGGAGGCCAGCAGCCTTAGCCTTCTGTCCTCGCTGGAAGACAGGCCTCACTCCAGAACCAAGGGGCCTCCAAGGCTGGATCTCACACAGTGCATTGTGTCTTCTTCGCTGGGGCCCTGCGGTCTCTCTCTCTCTCTCTCTGTCTCTCTCTCTCTCCCACTGTCCCCTTGCCCCTCTGTGCTCGCCCCATGTCCTCAGGGGCCCACTAGAGCCCACCAGGCTTCCCCCACACCATCTGCTCCAGGCAGCTCCGGGGACAGCCTGGGTCCCCTTCTGTCCCCATTCACAGCAAAGGCCAGCGCCTGGAGAGCGCCTGCAACCTGAGTGTGCACAACCTCCTGCCGCCAGGGAGGCCGCTGCAGCCCCCTGGGGTTCCACACCTCTCCTAAGCTGCTGACCCAGAGCTCACCCCAGGTACCCCGGTTCTGGAGTGCTGATCTGTTCCTGGGGAACAGCTTGCAAGGCATGACCTCATGGTTGCGGGGAGGGGCTGCTATGGGACCTTGGGGAGTTTCCTCACTGTCATAAAGGAGGGGACGTGAACCCGTTCCCCTCCCCCTGCCGAGAGCCAGTTTATCACCCCCTTCCATCGACTTCCCCAGAAATAGCCAAGCAGCTAAGAGCCCCTGGAGCAGAGAGGAGGGAGGAGTGCAGGGGGACAGGGGCGCAGTTTCTCTGAGATGAAGCGACACCTAGTGGTTCGAGGGGGAAATGAAGGACAATGCCATTTTATTCTTAAGTATGCTGTGTTTCATTGAGCGCTGGTGGCCTTGTACGTCCTGTGAACACAAAGAAAACTGTTTAATGCCACCAAACCCTGGGCTACGGGCAAATCCACAGACAGGTGAGAAGATCAGGTGGGGACAGGTGAACAGGGATACACCGCAGACCAAGGACACATCTGGCTGAAGATAATCTTACACATGCACTTGTGCTGCAAAATTAGCCACACACATTACAGAAGTAACACAGGACAGGGTGGGAGTGGCTGCTCAGAAACAACCAAACCTTGAGAGAGAGTCACTGGGCTGTCGACTTGGGACCGTAGTCTCAGGGACATCATGAGCACAACATGGCACATGAAAGTCTCATTCTACATCCTGCTTTGGTGAGCAGTGACTGGGGTCTTTTTAAAAGCTTTCAAGCAGCTTTTGAAGATGCAATTGGTCTCCTCTCATCTGGAGCAAAGAAGAGTGAAGGAAATCAAAGGCATCTGGAAACAATTAGTCCAAGGACAAGATGAACCATGAGGACCTCGGTCTTCACAACCCTGAAACCAGAAGAATTAGATGGTGCCCGGCTACCAATGCCAACCACTCGGGAAGGGATCAAACCTGGAGATCCTGGGTAGAGTGGGAAGGAAAACGTGGAACACAATTCAAAAACATGAAAATGACCAGAATTACTGGTCAGAAAGAGACCGGTGGAACCCCCTAGACCATGGCCACACGATACCCTTCAGGCCGAGAAATGGACTTACTTCCATGGATTGGCTCTCAGCCCAACAGCGGAAAGACCTACACGCAGAACACCTAGGCCAGGGCAATGCACCCACCTCCTCTAGGGAGATGCACCCCTCGGATCAATCAGCCATGACACACCAGAGGGGCAGCACTCACACAGAGGGCAAGCTGGACAGACAGGAATGCCTAGGGAAGAGGGGCACAGGGAGGGGGGGTGGGGAGGGGGGTCTGCTACGGTTGGGGAAGGTAATCGGGACCATGAAATCAAATGTGCATCAACTGCTGAATGTGAAACACATCTGCTTTGTAAATCTGCGCCCTAAGCACAATTTAAAAAAAAAAAAACGGGGGGGAAACCAGGTAAGCAGCCCTAATACAGCCCTTACCTTTCGAGCCTATAGCCGAATCGCTAGGGCTCAGAGGTCAAAGGCGAGCCGCCCTGGACAAGTGTTCTTGCTCCAAGCCCAGCAGAAACAGAAGCCTTAGGATAACTGCATCCTGAGCAGGGAGGGATGGTAGGTAACTCTAGTTCCAGACTCCTGACGCTGTCAGACAGCGAAAAGGAATTTTGTCCTGCCTGGGCGGGGAAAAAAAGAATGGGACAGCCAGAGGAGTAATGAAAGACCTGAAAAAGACGTGGCTCTGCCATTAGAGCAGCAACCAAATCATGCTTTGTCAGCCAGTACACAGGGAGCTTAGTGCCTAAGCCATTTGAGTGCTAACCAGAAGGCTGCTGGTTCAAACCCACCAGCCACTCTGCAGAAGGAAGACTGGGCAATCTAAACCCAAGGAGGGGTCGGAACCGACTAGACAGCACTGAGTTTGGTTTTTTCAACACACAGCTTTGTAAGAGAAGCAGTCCAGATGTCCCCATGTCTGCCAGAGCTAGGAGGAATCCTATAAATTCCTCATGCACTTCCCCTGTTTAAAGACAACTGAACAGTGAGTTCCCAAGAGTGAAGTCCCCCTGTGGTTTCTAATATCACACCAGAACCCAGGTTCCAGGGCTCTTTGTAGACATTCTGCTGATGAATGGAATTTATAGGACAAAGCTGTGCTTCTAGTTCTGTGCCCACCAAAGACCCTGCAGGCCCAGTGAAGACCCAGACTCCCAGACAAGTCCGAGCATGTGGCGTGTCATTATTTTAGACAGTGAGAAGATCCTGTGTTACACTGAAGACCAAACTTGCAGGCATCTTACCTCTTCCCTCTTCTTTCCAGCTGGCCCTTTATATGTGGGACGCGACAGGGAGACGAAGTTCAGTCATTTAATGTGACTTCTTCTCAGCATCCAGGGAAAGTTTTGGCTTTTTCCTTTTTTTTTTTTTTTTTTCACTTTTCGAGGAAGCTGAAAATATTAGATACAAGAGATCTGTGGTTAGCCATGCATCCTGATGGTCTAATCTATGATTGACGTGGACAGCAAACCCCTCTACAGATCTGGCATGAGCAGCACCCAGCTAGGGTACAACCTCCTCTTTGCAGGGTTGGTATAGCCTTCTAGTCCTCCACAGACACCCCTGTAATCACTCCTGGGGCAAGGCCAGCCCAAACACCTCCTTTCTGGTCCGGATCTGGCCTGTGGGGGAACTAAGAGCTAGCAGCCAGAAGCTGCTATGGTTTCCAAGCTGCCCTGTTCCTGATGGGTGCCATGGAGTCAATTCCAACTCATAGTGGACCCACGCGGCAGGAGGAGTAACCATAGGGTCTTCCAGGCTGTCATCTCTGTGGGAACAGACCATCAAGTCTCTCTCCTTAGAGCTGCTGCCTGAGTTGGAACCACCAATCTTTTGGTTAGCAGCCAAGTGTCTGACCACTGTGCCAAGCCTGTTCCTTAGTGGAAGGCAATCCAAAGCCCGATCATGCTCAGGCAGGCCAAGGGGCATCAAGACCCAAGCTGAGTTCTACGACCACCATGGGCTTCGGGCTCATGCTAACCTTCTCCTCCATGGAAGGTCCTTGTGTCCCAGACTGACTCCTGGGTGAGAGCTGAACAGTTTCATAAGTGACCTGGTCTCACAGCCAAGTCTTGAGTTTGCTGTAAGCAGAGCCTGCACCCCTGACCCATGGGATTCCGGAGAAGCAAAATACCCTTCAGCCTTCATCTGCTTGACCTGCAGAAAAACGCTTGGACTGCATGCCATCAGCCTGCACACAAGACCCTTTCAGGAGAACCTGCCAGCTCCGGGCAGGGAATAGCCACGGGAAGGGGGGTGAAATCAAGCAGAAAGGATGCATTTCAAATGATGCATTTCAGCCAGGGCCAACCAGGGTAAGGAAGTGGTGAAACATACAGAAGCCAAACAAAAAAATCAAACTCACTGGCGTGGATTTGGATCCGACTCATAGCGACCCCTCCTTGGGTTTCCGAGGCAGTATCACTACAGAAGTAGATGGCCCAGCCTTCCTTCTGAGGAGTGGCTGGTGGGTTCAAACCACCAGCCTTCTGGGTAGAAGTCAAGTGTCTTAGG